ACGCCAGGGCCACCTCCCCAGACGTGGGTCACTGGAGATGCACGTGCTCAAGCAAGGAAGGCTCTGAGGTTCTTGAATGACTGAGGGGACAGCAAGCACCCCAATCTCCCTCTTGGACATCACCAATTTCACATCTCCTTGGGAGCCAGAAAGGAGCACAAGGCAAGGCGCCAACCCCAGGCCTGACTCTGCTCTGGGCTGTGAAGGAAAACGTTCCTTCTTCCTTTCTTTCGGGTTGGTTGAGGTTTAAAGGAAGACAGAGGATCCAGCCATAGATCCCCACTGCGCTTGGGAAAGGGCAACGCCAAGTAGCATGTAGCCTGCCTGTGAGGCCGGCCGTTTCCTTCCCCACTCTGGGCAAAAGGCTCTCACCTATGTTCCATGTTCTTTAGCTCCTCAGGGATTGGCAAAGACCTTTGCAAAACTTGAAGTGGATGCTGTCTGTTTAGCAACTACTGTGAAAAATGCTGTTTTGATGAATTAATATTAAAATTGTACATGATAAAGATTTATAGTACTATTTCACTAACCCTAATATCACCGAAATTTCTTTACTTGTTCCAGAGAGTGAATTATATATCACAGGCAAATATGACCACATCGTCAAGGATGTGTTCTCTGAAAGGTCAGGCGACTTCAGATGGGAATCATGCAGTTGTTTAATCAAAAACAACCATCAATCAGTCTTCATATTTTTTAAATATTTTATGTATTTATTTATTTTGGTACAGGGTCTTGCTATGCAGCTCAGACTCCCAGTGGCCCTCCTGTCTCAGCCTGTCCAGCACTGGAGTTACAGGTGTGCACCACCACATCCAGTTTCAGGGCCAGCACAGTGCACCAGGGGTTTCAGGACCAGCACAGTGTGCGGTACTGGGGACTGAATCCCAGTCCTCCCACTTGCCATGCAGGCACTTAGATCCCTGAGCTATCTCCCCAGCCAGTCTTCATATTCTTAATTAAAAAATGTTAAACCTACGTTAGAAAATGTTAAACCGAGTTCTCATATTGTTGTAGGCAGCTGAGTTAGATAGAAATATTTTAGGCAATCAGACAGGGCTGGGCCCTCGAGGGAGCCAATATAGAAGAAAAGATATCTTGCAGCTGTGGGAGAGACAGGCACCCCTGCCCGGGGGCCAGAACTCAAGACCAAAGATAAAACAAATGCACCAACATACCTCCCTAAGGATAAACATCGGTCATTGATGTTCTATATAGATTTCTATCACCTTGAAAAAGCCAGGAAGAGTCGCTAACCAGACCCCCTGCAGGAAAAGCCCCTGTCCTGTATGCATGCCCACTTGGTATGTGACTCAATTCCCCATTTGATCCTAATTTAATCAATTTTACCCAAGCAATTATACTCGGAATCCTATTGGTTGACCATAGTTCTGTCCCGCCTCATGCCCACCCAGCGAGTTCCAAGTTTCCCACCTTGGCCCTGCCTTGCTTGTAAACTTGCTCTATAAAAATCCCTAGAAAAGACGGGGTCCTTGGCAACCACTCGGGTCCCCTCTCTGTCTCTCAGGCAGAAGCTTTCTTTCCCCCAATATATGTATTCTGCTCTTAACCTCCATTGTTCCTAAAATGCATTCTTCGATTTTAGAGAATACGAAGTTGCCCCAGATATCTATCAGGTTGGGAGTTTCTTTCCCCTATAGCAACAGGAACATAATGATAATAATTTTGAAATTCTGAGTTCTGATCCTTTGAGTTGTAAATTACTTAACATCAACTGTCTGGACCTCAACTTTCCCTAAGTACAGAAAGAAGGGTTAGGGGTCATTCACTCCCTCAGCAGCTGAGCACTTTCTTCTTTAGGGGCTTTGTGGGAACAGTGCTGGAGAAGGATCTGAGGACTTCTCACTGAGTATCCAGCCTTCTTTCTAAACATTTTAATCTTAAGACAGGGTCCTGCTAAGTCACTTTCTTACACACGCTGTCGCTATGGTACTTTGCTGTAGTAGTGCTAACAATAATGCTCTTGAAATGCTAGAAAATTTGAAATTACCTTTCCCCATGGAAATAAAGTTATTTTTATTTGTGTATTTCCCTTGGACATCTGACATCATGGCATCCCTCCGTGTAGTGTCAGGATGCACAGCAGTCAGCTGAAACAGTGCTCGCCCCCCATGCAGCAAGGCAGTCTGCCTGCAGAGTGTTTTGGAAATGATATTTGTTATTGATTATTCTTCTGTTTGATATTTACTGGTTTATCTTGGACTGAGTCAATTTGAAATAAAACAATCCAACTGGAAAATGTAGATCCTCTGCCAATTCCTCACCTGAAAACCTACAGCTTGCCTTTGATATGCTAAGCATCTGTAGTGGCTCGCTTGCTGGGGGTCTTGGCCAGTTAGCCTTGCTTGCCAAAACTCTCTGGCACTCCCCTGTAAGGGGGAGTCCTTCTGTAGTAACAGTGTCCAGGTCTCCGTTACATTTGCAAGTTTCTAAGGGAGCTGTTTTGCTTTTGGTTATGTTGCTACTAACTGAATCTAAGATACTAAATAAATATAAACAGAAACTAAATACCTATCGCCATGGTGTTGGTGCTGAGTCATCACTCTGTGTGCTCAGAATCTGGATTAAAAATTTTAAATTATATATGAACTCTGATTGATCAAGAAACTCATAATTCTGTGATTATGCTATGAATTACAATGTTAGCAAATTAAATAAGAAGTTTAGAGGTTCATTCAAAAATGTTAGTTGTAGCTTTTGACTAGTGATTTTCAGTCGATGGGGTCACATAGAACCCTCTTAGGAGCAGCCCCCTCTCCTGGGGTCCTGTGACTTTTGCTCTGTGGCAGTGATCTCTCTAGAAGTCACATCCTGTGCCACTTCTTGAGGCTGCAAAGCATTACCTGCCTCAGTGCCAAATGGAGGACAGGAGCAAGCCGTGACCTGTGCACTCTAGTGCGGGGCCCCACCCGAAGGCACTGAACACCACTAACAGAAGTGACACCAAAAGGCTCCAAGCTACGTGGGTATCCCTCCTCGGACAACACCAGCGTGTCGGGCCTAGAATGAAGATGTATTTGTTCTCCACTCACCCCGAGCTTCAGCGTCCCATGGCCACACTGGTATTCCCCACTTAAGGACCTGGAATCAATAACTAGGAGGGAGAAGTAAGATCCACAGGGCAAATACCTTAGCGCAAACTCAACCACTGGACCACTAGGCCATGCTGCTTCCCATGCAAACATCTCCGGGACCGCAGAAATCCGATTCACTTAGAAATAATGTGTGCTGAAGAGCTCCGGAGCAGGCCACTCACTGGTCAGCCCCGACAACCAGGGTGGGCGGGCTGGCAGGGGGCTGCACCTTGCCTGCATCTGTATGAGTAGCTCGTGTGCCCGCCGTTGCACTTTTCACTCGAGGGCTGCCTATGGGTCCCCACTTAGGTCCCTGCTGTGAAAGCACAAAACAACACAGTTCCCACCATTTGTTCATTCTGTTCCTTTCACTTGGTCCCTGACTTTAAAGAAAACAAGAAGACTTAGTGGGTCACTGATGTCCTTTTTAGCTCCAACCTCCTAAGAGGGATGTGTGTATGTGTGTGTGTGTGTGTGTGTGTGTGTGTGTGTGTGTGTAAAGCCTCCACAACAGTCAGATCAGCTAGGAACTGAAATGAAAACAAACTTCCATTTGACCCCATAAGAAAAATCCAGGGGCCAGGGAGATGGCTCAGTGGAATAAGCACTTCCCTGGCAAGCACAAGGGTCTGAGTTCAAACCCCGGTTCTGCCAAAAAAAAAGAAAAAGAAAAAGAAAGAAAGAAAAGAAAAGAAAGAAATCCAGCACAACAGCTGGCATGCAGAGTGCTGGCCCTTAGGCCGTCTCACCCAGCTCCCCCTCCCCACCAACCCTGGGTATGGAAGTTCCGAGCCTCCCTTTTGGAGAACTCGGGGGCTGACAAGAGGAGGCTGCGCACACAGCCCTGCCGGCTGGCTCCACACCTTGCTCCTGCTATGTGACGCCCAGAAGCGTCTCCTCTGACAAGAGGAGGCTG